CAAAACGACGCCGCTTTGGAGTTCAACAGAGCTTAAAGAACGAGTCATTCAACTAAGAGCAAAACTCTCAGATGCTTCTCTCGTCTACGTGGATGTGTTTGCAGCTAAGCTCCAGCTCATAGCCAATGCAAAGGAAGAAGGTAATTAATTTTTATTTTATTTATTTTTTTAACCGTCCAATTTTTAATTTTATATCTAATAGAATATAAAATTTAAAAATCACATAATATTTTGGAACTAAATTAAAATTAAACCTAAATACTCCGCACTAAAAAGAATAATTATCACGTTAAATTACAATTTTAACCCTTATGTTTTCACGTAAATCTTGTTTAATTTACGTGACGTCGAGATTTGAATATTTAACCTCGTTACGTAAGTATCATAAGTTAAGCTTAGGCGTGTGCACAGACGGGATCTCTTTACTTGAGAATTTATTTAATTTTCTCTCTTATTTAATTTTAATAAATAGGGGCTAAGTTATTTTTTAATGAATTGGATATAATTGTTTAAATAATTAGGGTTTATGGAGATGGGGGCAATATGTTGTGGGTATCACGAGGGTAATGATCACGTGTGGTGCGGGAACCAGAAGATCATAAATGGCAGCCAAGTGTACGCTGGATCTTGTGATGATCCTTCCAGATTTATCAGCTGGGATGGGGTCCATTATACTGAGGCTGCTAACCGTTGGATCGCCAATCAGATTATCAAAGGCTCCTTCTCCGACCCCCAAGTTCCCATCACGCATGCTTGTCGTTGACATCCTACCGTCTGATTAGGTTTCGACGGCTACGATCGTCTTATTTACAACACGCATATTCGACGGTGCAACTTCAGGATAGTTTACTTCTCAACATATTATAACATTTTTACGTGTGGTAAGTTTAGGATTTAACTTTTACCCGTGTTTTAATCGTAATACTTTACCTAATCAATAAATTATAGTTTAATTCGAGACGTGTTAAAAGAATTTGGTGGTAAAAACAATTGGATCAATCTAATTTAAGTTAAATTATCCATGTTGAATGACAATGAGTCTATAATAAAAAAAATATTATCTCGCCTGTTGGAAAGTCCAAAACAAAGTTACGAGAGCTTGTGTTCGAAGTGGACAATATAAAAGTACATTTAAAATTTAAGGTATTTTTTATACAAATTTAATTATCTCGTCTAAAATTAATAATAAATATATATTTAAATTTTTATTAAAAGTTTAAATATATTTTTAAGGTTTTAAAGGTATTATTAAATTTTTGAAAGTTTGAGATTATTTTTTTTTAGACAAATAAAAATTTAAAAGTATTTTTATTAATTTAATTTAAAATTTATTAACAATGAATTAAATATATATATATCTAGAAATACAGAGAGATTTACGGTGATATGATCGTCTAGAAACGACAAGGGTTGCCCCCGTTTAATTATATTCACATGGAAACGAAACTATTCGCCTCGATTTGCCAACTTCATCACAGCCGCACGATCACGATTGCTATCGCGATCGAACGACCCCAATTCACCCAATCATTTCCACCCGCACCGACATCGTAAAAAAGTTTATTCCCTCGGTACTGCTGAAGCTCTGGCCATGGCCGCGGACCTCCGAAGAAGATAATGTAGAGAGAGAGAGAGAGGCAAATGTGAAGCTCTCACTCAGTGGAAGTGATGTATAAGTGTGAAACATACTGAACACATTGCGAAATTTGAAAAACCTTCTTCCTGAATCTCGAAAACCGCCGTCGGAATCATCTGCGGAACGGAAATAGAGTTTCCGGCGATGGTAGTGTTTGCATTTTTGGTTTTGCAGGTTACCTTTGCGTTGGCTTCACCCGACTGTGATTTTCCGGTGGTTTTCAACTTCGGCGACTCGAACTCCGACACTGGCGCCATTTCCGCCGCTTTCGAGCCCATCCGATGGCCGTATGGAGATGTATTCTTCAACAAGCCATCCGGAAGGGATAGCGACGGCCGTCTGATCATCGATTTCATTGGTAAGTGACGTAACATTGCGGTTATCTCTCTTAGTTTCCCGCCAGGATTGTTGATGTTGATGTTGATTTAGGGTTTCTGATATTGCAGCGGAGAGATTGAGATTGCCGTATTTGAGTGCTTATCTGAATTCGCTTGGCGCTAATTTCCGGCACGGCGCCAATTTCGCCACCGGCGGATCGACTGTACGGAAGCCGAATGAAACCATTTATGAATATGGAATTAGTCCATTTTTCCTTGACATGCAGGTGACTCAGTTCGAACAGTTCAAAGCTCGCTCCAATGATCTCTACAACCAAGGTTTCAAGATCTCTTAACTTCAATCTTTAGTTCATCTTAAATTTAGGCCATGAAACTCTTCTTTTTTCACTCACTGTTTTTGTAATCAAACTCCCACCGACAATCTGATCTATGAGATCCCACTTTAGTTGGAGAGTGAATCGAAGCATTCTTCAGAAGGGTGTTGAAATCTCTTTCTAGCAGATGTGTTTTAAAAACTTTGAGGGGAAGCCAAAACAATATCCGCTAGCGGTGAGTTTTGACTGTTACAAATGGTATTAGAGATAGACACTGAGCGATGTGTCAGCGAGGAGGTTGAGCCCTGGAGGGGGTGGCACGAGGCGGTGTGCCAGCAAAGATACTGGTGGGCTCCTAAGGGGGTGGATTGGAGGGTCCCACATTGGTTGGAGAAGGGAAAGAGTACCAACGAGGACGCTGGCCCCGACGAGAGGTGGATTGTGAGATCCCACATCGTTGGGGGAGGAAAATGAAACATTCTTTATAAGGGTGTGGAAATCTCTCGCTAGCAAACGCGTTATAAAATCCTTGAGGGGAAACCCGAAAGGGAAAGCGGTTAGTTTGACGTTTTCTTTTTTCTATACTGAAATTTTTTGTTGTTGATGATTGATTCTTAGCCAAGAACCCATCTGACAGAGAGAAACTTACAAGACCAGAGGATTTCTCCAAAGCACTCTACACTTTTGATATTGGGCAGAATGATTTAGCTATGGGGTTTAGAAAGCTGAGCATCGATCAACTTCGTGCTGCTTTGCCTGATATCGTTAACCAGTTTGCCTCTGCAGTTCAAGTAAGCAAAAGAAAACCCACTTTCTCACAGAGCTGTTTCCTTGCCATTCTTGATATGTCTATCATCTATTGCGTTTCAATGACACCCATTTGGTCATTTGCTGTATATAATAATGGTGTTTGGGCTGTTATAATAATTGAAGCAGTGCATCAGAAAAGTCTTTTTTGGGAAGAAAGTAAGGGAGATGAGTTCTAGAAAACAATTACTCAAAACATGTTTTGAACCTAATATTGACTCAGTTCGGTCGGTTTGAATTTGGTTTGTTAGTCGGTTTGAATTTGGTTTGTTAGTCGGTTTGAATTTGGTTTGTTGGTCGGTTCGTGTTTTTGAAGTATAGACTAGAAGAAACAGTCGATTGGTTCAATTTGATCGTTTCCTTTGCGCACATAATGTGAGATCCCACATCAGTCGGGGAGGAGAACGAAACATTCTTTATAAGCGTGTGGAAACCTCTCCCTAATATACGCATTTGAAAAACCTTGAGGGGAAGCCCGAAAGGGAAAGTCCAAAGAGGACAATATCAGCTAGCGGTGGACTTAGGCTGTTACACTTAACTCGGCTTTAGAAAGAAGTTGGTGTTGTTTTCTTCCACATGTCTGATAAGTTAGTTCGGGTTAGGTTTTGACCAATAAAAGAATCAATCTGGGGCGACCTACTTGTACCGTGCTCAAAATGATGAAGAGAACATGGTTTTGTTTTGTTATTTCTGAAAATGTTTGTGAAATTTGATAAATTTCAGAGGATATACAAGCTTGGAGGGAGATCATTTTGGATACACAACACAGGGCCATTTGGTTGCCTCCCAGTGAACCAATTTTACACTCTAAACCCAGCCCCAGGCATCCTTGATGAGCACGGTTGTATCAAGGCTCAAAATGATATCTCTATGGAGTTAAATAATCAGCTCAAAGCAAAATTGGAGAAGCTTAGGGCAGAGCTCCCAGAAGCTGCCATTACCTATGTGGATGTCTATGCTGCCAAGTATGCTCTTATCAGCAATGGCAAAACTCAAGGTTATTCTTCCATATCTCTTACTCATTATTAACATTTTCTGCTATACATTTTGTCGATGTCGAGGGAACAAAGAATCGAGAGTCTGCTGCCTTGAGTAGGCTCATCCATGGTTTTTCTCGAAAAGGGGTCCTTGCAATTTTACGAGACGGTATCTAAAGTTCAATAGGATTGTGTGATCTTATGTTAGAACATGTCTAGACTCTAGAAAAGGGTGGGGACAAAAAGGCTCAACCCGTCATAGAGTTAGCTGAATGCATTCATTTAAGAAACACGAACACGAGGGGTTAGAATATAGGAGCCACTAAAGAAATTGCCGAAGGCAATAGAGATTCTATACAAGGTAAAAGAACCATGCTCCTAGTTAACACTTAATCTTCGATCGACATCTATTTCAAATATCAAACTTTTGCAGGGTTTCCCAATCCGCTCAAGGTGTGCTGCGGATACCACGTAAGGTATGACCATGTGTGGTGTGGGACAAAAGCACCCATAAATGGAAGCTTGGTGTTTGGAGATGCCTGTGAAAACAGAGCTCAGTATGTGAGTTGGGATGGAGTCCATTACTCTGAGGCTGCTAATCACTTCGTGGCTAATCACATTCTCAATGGTTCATTATCAAGCCCTCCTATTCCAATCACAAAAGCCTGCCATAGGAGTTAGAACTATGATCTGTAGGCATTATTGAAGTTTCACTATTACTAATATTGAGCATGTATTTTGTAGTAGTACTTAATAAAAACTTAAACTTGTGAGTTCGGTGATGATTTGAGGTCGTGTTCTCGGGTTTAGTGCTTAAACGGTACTAAATTATACGTATACGGATGATGAGAAACAAGGATGTTAATTTAAGAGATAATCATCATTAAAGGAACAATAATTATCATGGGGTTTCTTCACCATTATCATCTGATACTGAATACATTATCATTTCTCAAATTTAAAGACAGAGAGAATAATGCATAATGTTTGGTCTACGATTTACAAGCTTATATAGTAGTATTCACAAATATAAATATAAATACACGTAGCTTACTGGCGGAGTCCTTCAGGCAAGGCTACAACTTTATGGAAGGGCACTGTTCTCTGGGGCAATGTCGACGACCCATCTTCCTCGTCGTCATCAAATTCCAACAAGTAACTGTCCAGAATAAAACATAGGATGAATTTGTAATGCACAATAGATGATCATGTAGTAGTAGTATATAGATGGTACCATGTATCATGATCACATCATTTGACACGAAAAATCGTTACGAGAAATAATTGTGGTTCGAAGGGGAGAAAAATGCATTCCATTGAAAATTGGCACCAAGACACAGTTGGTCGAAACTGATGGCAAACACACAACGAATGATCACAACATCCCGAGCCAATGAAATTGACCGTATAGAAAAGTGGTATCAGAGAGAGATCAAAACTGGTGGCAATAGCTTGAAAGCTCTTCTTTCATAAGCACGCAAGCGTGCTTTTTTAAAAGTGATTTGTAGTGTTTTTAGGTTTTTTCTTATTTTAAGAGTTGAACTATCTCCAAACCGACCATAATAGAATAGATAGGGGCGAATTTGAGTTTCTAGTGACAATCCCAATAAAACCAGAAGTGTCCCTTGTTTCAAAAAGAGGAAGACGGGTTATTCACATTTTATTTGATGGTCAGAGATAAATTGAAAGCTAAGCAGTGGTAGTTCTAAGGATTCCCGAGGGAAAAAATAGAGACGTCTCCTACATTACCCGTAATATGTGGAAGTATCGACATAATTTCAGAGTCATTCGGTCTGACTACTACATGAAGAACATAAGCCAAATGAAGAAACGGGAAGACCAAAAAGATATAGAATATATAAGTCCAGCCTTGTACGAATTCAAATGGGAAAAAGAAAGGAAAGAAGGTTCTTTTAAGCTGCTGACAAACCGACTAACCGACTAGGAAAGCCTTTCTCCATATGAGAAAGATGCGCTCATGGCTTTTTTTGTTCTTTCCTCATTTCAGGTGGTGAAAGAACTTTCTATATGGCTAGGACGAAAGGAAGGAGTAAGCTTTAATGGGCTATTTCACATAGAAAGTTAAAGGAATCAGAACATGATGGTCATCAAAGAGAGGAGAATCAGAGTAGACATGGAGTGATGAATTTAAAAAAGCAAAAAGAAAGAAGAAACGAGGTAACTTACTCATCTGTTTTCCTCTAGAAGCGTGAAGATGCCATCCATTCCAAAAGAAATTGTCAGTAAGTTGCACATAAAATTATAATAAAGGTTAGAAGTTAAGAGGATTGACGTAGTTTGTTGTGCTACAATTATGGCAGAAGAAGGTGTAGAGATGAAATGCTGACCTTGCGATGACCATTGACAACTGTTGCCCTATAAAGAGCGGTTGTGCCTGGATAAACAGCTAAAACTCGTCTTCCAGGTTGGAAATCAGGGACAGTAGAAGGATCATTTCGTTTTGGAAAGGGAATGATGGCTGACATTGGTAACTTGTATTTTCTGAAATTAAATTGAATTAAACATTGGTTGATTAGCATGAAACTGAGAACAAACTATCCAATTACCCACAATCAATAGCTTTACCTCTGCCCTCCACCTTCATCTTCATCGCCTGGCTCCTCATCTAGTACGTCAAATCTGTGCATGTTCATATTACATATTAAAATATCATAAAGGAGATTAGTGTCTGAAAAGTATCATGTTTTAATCATTATGGTGATCTCTTTTTCTTCCTTTTTTTCTCCATAAAAGATAAATCATGAGACTCTGCAACAAGATTAATGTCGAACTTGTACTCACAAAATGATGTTACGCAATTTTTTTTTAACAACTACAATCATGACAAGAAAATCCTATTAGAAACAAGATCGTCTAAATGTGATTGTAACATTCAAACATGTTTAAAATGATTTGATTAGTTCTAAAAATTCACAAATTAAGCTCCAGAGTGATCTCAAAACAGTGCACATAATCAAACATGTAAAACACTAATGAATGACAAAGCAAGGAGCACTATTGAAATGTTTGTTCCCTATATCTTTCTTTGCTTTGACAATCTTCCATCTCACCAAGTACAAATAGTCATCACTGAAAAGGGAATTTGACACGATGACACTAGTCACTGATTACTAATATTGAAGAAGCCTGTTAGAAGGCAATGTTGAAATTTGACCTTATTGAATACATGGGAATCATCATATATGAGTTTTCCATGACTAACCAGTTTCTTTCTTTGTTCTTTTCAAATAAAAATAACAATTCAACTTAATTTCCAACATGCCTAGCTGTTAAGAACTTGCTAGTATAATTCAACTTACAGTTTTGTCTCCTTATCAAAATGCATCACTTTTACAATAAACCATTCATCCTTCTCAGCCCCATCTGGCGTCACCCTGGCTGCCACCTGAAGATAACAGAAGATGGTAACTATACAGCTATCTTTGGTTGAAATTAATCAAAGCGTTTAAATTATTTTTAGTTTTTTTAAAAGTAAAAAGATAAAAATAAAATAAAATAAACAAAAAAAAGTGGCAATCGACATACAGACCTGTTCATCTTTCAGGTTGGCGCATGCCTCGAGGTTTCTCATGGCAGGAGAAAGGCGAGCATTATCTGAATCTGCCTTCATTCTTTTCGCTTTATCTGCCATATACATTCAAATTGATCAATAAACAGATAACCGCTTCAGAATATTTCTTCAAAATATGACAAGAGAATCAGCAGTAATAAACTAATGATTGTTTGCTAATAAGGGAAAGGATCGTAGGAAATTAATGACTGTTTTTTCGTTGATGGGCATATGTAGTCATATGAATAAATCTAAGATGCCATTCTAGGAGGTCCCATCCCATACATTTAGCAAATAAATACAAAAGTTAATTTCCTTTCTCCTATTATCCATTTGCAGCAATCACAAGTGTAGACTCATACCCACACGGACGCATGCGTTTAGTAATCAGAGTGGGTGGAACAGGGTGTACAGTTTCCTCAAGAATAGAAACTCAAAATTTCCGTTTCAGACACCATCAGGATGTCCATGAGTATTAGGGAGTATAATATACAGTAGTTTGGCAACTAAATTCAAGGGCTGACATTAATTGACCATCTATCAAGAAAGATTCAGAAGAAGGAACAACAAAGGAAAGAAAACATATTTAGTGTTCAAGTCTCCAATAAAATCAGCAAGATTCCTATCGTCTCCACTGTGATATTAACAAATATGGCCCTTCTGTTAGTTATGATTAGTTTTTATAAGAACACATAAATTCTATCCTGTGGTTAATCCAAGAGCGTAATACTTCAAGAGAAGCCAATGGAGCGGAAGAGTGGAAAATATGATTGGCCTCTTTTCATGATAATGTGTATAACATATCTTAGCCTGTATCAGAAAGCTTTTGGGAAAGTTATCTGTAAAACATAGTAGAGTTGAATAATTCTTGGAAATACCTATCCTTCTCCTTGGTTGCCCAGGAGGTCCAGCAGGCAGCAAAGTTTCAAGTTGACCCAATAAGGTTGTGGAAACGCTGCAATGAAAAAATAATATGGACTTCAATGCCATGCGCAATAGCTATGATCCAGACACACTTGGGGTAGATAAATGATTTCTATTCGTATGTATCTAAACGCGCACAAACTTACAAAAAATAAAACACAAGTGAACAAACTGAAGTATGAATTTCATGTAAGAATAGAGTAAAACTACCTCACTTCATCCTCTGAAAGTTGTTTTGCTTGAGTATATAGATGCTTTAGTTTTGACAATGAATTATCCCCAGGCTTCTCGACCACCTTAGGAGCTGCACACGATCAAATATTAAGGAGAAAGCCAGCTAAAAACAGAAATTTGAAGGAAGACAGGGTGACGAGCACTAATAGAAAAGAAAACTCTCTAAAAAGTGTGATAACAAACTCCCCAAGGTTATATACTTCTTTGTTTTAGTTAACAAACCAAAAACTAATCAAAATTACCGAGTTTATCATCCTCGCCTTCCAAATCCATATACACGTCAAAGATCTAGAACAAATATAAAACGAACCACAAACTTGCCCTTAATTTTCTTGACACCGTGGGTATTGATGGAACAATAAACTAGTTTAGCTTCGGTAATTAAGATAGTTTAGGCTTATAGTTCGTAAGTTATTCTAATTTCTGAATAACTTGTTCTTTCTTATTCTTTATTTCTTATTTCTTATTAATGTTATTTTTTTTCTGTCAAGGAACTGGGTGGTTTTAACTAATTAACATTGTCTTCTCTTGTCACATCGTAATGCTATAAGGAAAAGGCTTCGGATAAGGAAGTATTTCCACTGCTGAAATGTTTTCAGTAAGTTTCCTCTTATTTCAGCTTTAACCCTTTGAGCTCATTGAATCAGTCTCTTTGTCACGATACACTTAAAATTGAGCCGATAGCATTCAAAAGGCCGGCATAAAAAATTAACAGAAACCTCGGATTTTTTTTCATCACACACTCAATACCGCCTTAACAAGCTCAAGTATTGTTCCAAAAAAGAAAAAAAAGAAAAGAAAAAAAAAAAAGAATCAAGTAACTTCCAGTAAAATTCCAGAATGCAATAGCTCTCAGATTATTGTCATCTAATCCGAATTTCAACAATAGCCTCATCAACAGACGAAATTAATTAAACCAGCAGGAGAGCAAGAATCGAACATTTTGGCCAATTCCTACCAGCTTGATCTCGAAAAAAACAACAAAATACCAAACTCATAAAAGAAAGCAGCCATGATCAGATCAAAAGGTTTAAGAATTGAAGAATACTCACTAGCGAGGAGTTTCTTGTGCATCTTGTTAATCTCAAGAACAACATCCTCCAGATCCTTCCGCAGGCGATCGAGCTCCTTCGTGTTCGCCAAAATTCCGTCAATGTCGAGCGACGACATTGTTCAGTATGATCGGAGTAGCGATTTTATTGTTCTTCTACCGCTGATCAGACTGTAGAATGAACGAAGAAGGAAACAAATACATATATATATATTATATATATATAAATCATAATTCTACCTGAAGAATGGGCTTCTGGGTTTCTCATTCAATGCCCTGAACATTATTTTCCCCCCTTTTTAAAGTTTCTACAGAGAGATAGCAGCTGAGGGAATTACATGATTGCGATTATAATATTCAAAAATATTCAAAAATATTTGATCTAAATTATAAAAATACTAAATTTAAAATTAAAATAATTCAGCATACATTTTTTTTTATCTAAAGATATCTTTTCAAAAACAAATCTCAAAATAATATCTTTAAATATTCGGTAAAATCGAAAAAATATTAACAAATACGGTTAGTAATTTATTTCAAAAATATATTTAAACGTTCCAAAGAGTTTAAATATTACCTTTTTACTTTTTTACGAACTTCAAAATCACTTCTAATTTTTTTTTAAAAGTTCAAACATACGTTTACCGTTGATACATGTTTAAAAAATACTCTTAAATTTTAAAAAATATATTAAAAAGTGAGATAATATATGAGTGTCGAGACTTTTTCTATCCACATTAATCGTCAGATTTTTTTTTTTTTTGTTAAAATTAAGGATATTAATACTCCTTTTAAGATTTCTTAGTATTTTTTTTAAATATAATACTAATAATAATATTTGAATAATTTTTTTATAATTAATTTAGCCCTCACAGGAACTTTATAAACTCTTTTAAAAACACATTTAAAAGTTTAAAAAATTTATTAATATTTTAACCTTTCGATAAAATTAAAAAAATACTTTTACCAAAAATCTATTAATACTTTTTACGGTAGAATCTATTAATACTTTTTACCATTTTATTTAAGTGAGTAGTCTTTAAAATTTTAAATGTATTTTTTAAATGAAGTATTGACGGTTTCAATTTAATAGGCAGATGATAATAATATTTTAAAATATTTTGCAACATTTTAAAAGCATTAATTAAACTATTTAAAGTTCGAGTTTATGAGAGGTAATTTTTATTTAAATAAATAAATTTTACCGAAACTATTTATTAATTAATTTGTGCATTTATTGAACTTAAATTATAAAAGTTGATATTATATCAATATAAACATACGATCCCATATTGTTGAACTAAAAAAAATCGATATTATTATATTATTAAAATTAGAGAACTCGAAATATAGAAATTAAATATGAAAATTAGTGAGTAATTAGCAACACTCTTATTAATTAATATTTATTTAATTATCAATATAATATTATTTTTAATTTATGATTAGATGAATTTATTATCTTACATATAACTAATTAATTTAATTAAAAAAATATTAATCTTTATCAATAATTATCTCATATATTTAATATTTATTAAACAATGGATCTAATAAACGAGGCTTGAAATTTATTGGGCCGAAGAAATTGTAGGCCCACAAAAAGTTAATTGGGCTTGAGGCCCAAATAGCGGACTCGCGCGCTCTCAGACGGCCACAAATTTCGTCAGATTTCGAAATTTGAGGGAATTGAAACTGATTGATAGGCGCCTGTTTCTCTCTTCTCTTTGCTTCTTTTTTCCCGCTCGGGTGGTTTCATGGATTCAATTGCAGCAGCCGTAGCCACAGTCTCTCTTGAACAAGAGGATTGGGAGCTTTGCAACGACGATGGATTCGTCTACAAGCGGAAGAGGCGTCGATTGGACCCTGCGGAAGCTGTGGCAGCTCGCTCGTCGGTGGCTCAGGCGGTGGACCTTGAGGCGGAGGAGAATCGGCGGCGAGAGCGCAGGAGGAAGACGTTGTTGAAAGTTAGGGCAAAGTACCGGAGAGAGATTGAGCAGTGGGAGGTTTTGTCGAGCAACTTGCAGGCGATGGAGGAGAGGGCTCGGAAGCTACAGGAACAGTACCGACAGGAAGGGGAAGTAGGTATGGCGTCGCGTCTGGAGGCTTCCTTGTTGACTGTAGTTCAGCACAAGGAGCTTTCGTGCGCGTCAATGGTGGAAGATCTTCTCTCTCAGGTAAATCGGTATTCTGGTCTTGTGTGATAATTTAGGATAAAGGCGCAAGGAATATGAATTTTACGGATTCAGGCATTGAGTTGTTTAGGAATTTCCTCAATTTTCTCATAATTCATCATTCGTTGGTGAGATTTCATGTCTAAGATAAGAATTCCTAGTTCAGTTTGCCCTTTTTCGCAGATTGGGTGGAACTCTGTAGAACTAATTATTCCTCTACTCGATTGACAAATTCATCGGATTAAAGGCGTTCCGTTTTCGGTGGTATGAGGTTTAGATTTGGAAAATCTATTAGAACGGCCCACCATCCTAAGTCAAATATTCGATTAAGAGAACACACAGTTCTGAAACCGCTTGCATGGCCAAGTTTTTGCCCCAATCTAGATCCAATTTGTTACCCCGACTGAGATCAGGAGAGAAAATTGTCATTTTTCGCCAAATATTGTTCGAATTCATCAACCACTTTACCCCAAAAGATAGCCAGACACTATTTGTTCAAAAATCTCAATCATTTTCCTCCAAAGATGTTTTTAAGGTAAGGACTCGAGAGTTGTTGAGACATGTTCAGACATATCTTCAAATTGAAAATATTGGGTTCTAGTATCTGAGTAGAAACTTCATAATTTATAATTTAAACTTTTTGCCGTCTCCTGGAGTTTAAGCTTAAGATTAGGAAAATTGAAGGCGAATTCGGTTGTTTACCAGAGTTGGCCTTAGGGTGAGTGAAAACCCTTTCGAACCCTTTTCCTGGTCCTATATTCTTTTTCGCCTCCGACTGCCGCAGTGGTTCAAAACAAAATAGTTTCTCAATTATCAAATAGGTTATCTATCCTAATAATGATATCTAAAGTTTCAATTGTGCAGGTAGAAGCTCAGGAAGCCATCATTCGTAATGTTTCAAAGCTTTGTGATATAGCTGAAGCATTGTGCATGACGGAAGAAAACCAATTGAAACAGCGTCTAATTGATCTTCCCATCTGGGCTTCACCATGTGAGCTCATGGCCTCACTGTGCGACGAGTAACAATTCGAGCATTGAAGAGAAACAGGAGCCAAGGACCTTCCATTTGTAAGATCTTACTATGAATCCTATGAAATCACCAAAGTGTAGCCTAGTTGTGAAGATCACGTTCTTTGTTACAGTAGATAGCAAACTCTTATGCTTGTAGACTTAGTTCATTGTCGATATTAAACGGAATTTAGTGATCTTAGTTTTATAGAAATGTCGATGTTCATGTCATGAATATTTTATTTTGTGGGTGTTATTGGTCTTCCTTGTGCTTCCTCTCTATGATTCTTGATGTTGCTTTAAGTTGTAAATATAGGGTGTTCCAGTATATACAGGCTTGCTTGGGCACACTATTGCAAGGAAGGCAGACAGCCATATCAGTTAGTTAAACACAAAAGGGTTCAAGATTTATTTACAACCACTATGATCAGTGAATTTCTCATTATCTAATTCTCAACAGAGCTCAGAAACAGTACATGCCAAGATTCTTGATTGTTAGACAGATGGGTGCCATGGCAGCAATCCCAAATTCTGTTACATTTCCTGGATTGGCTTATTGGGTATTCTCATAGAACTACAACTAAAGTCAAGCTGTGCTTTTTTAGGGTTTTCTTCTATATTGGATCAGTAACACTTGTTAAAGCAGAAGAAGGAGCTTTTAGGGGTTTCTTCAATCATGCCGTGTGAGGCTTCCCCTGAGCCATGTCGGACAGCCATCAAGGAATCTGTACCGGGAGATTCAGGTGGCATCACGACATTTTCAGAAGCACATATCCGAGGTGGTATTACGGGTTCTCGAGGTGATATTCTAGCCAGGGACTGCAATAGCATCTGTATAATCTGGCTAAAGTTTGGCCTTGTATTTGGATCCTCTCTCCAACATGATGTCACTAATAAAGCTAAGTCCTCTGGAAGGTTTTCAGCACTAGGCCTCATGTTCTGAAAACAACAAAGCTATGATTATTCAAAACAGGATATTTGGAAGGCTACAAGATTGTTCATTTGCATACAATTAGCTGTAAGTACTTATCTAGTCATGCATTTATGTAAAAAGCTTCAAATTGTTGTAGAAACTGTTCTTCAATCAAATTACAAGTGGATTATAGCCCATTGTACTCTTTTGTAACGACATGCTTACCTTAAAAGCTGCTGCATACGCCGCCTGTAAATTCGACATGCCTTCGAAAGGCAACCTGTTAAGGATGAGCTCCCACAAGACAATGGCAAAGCTATATACATCAACTTTATGATTATAATGCTTTTTATCTCCATGTTTTAAAGTGACTGTGCTATAGAGCTGCCACCAAACAATACAAAGAAGAAATGTATAAGAGGCAGCAATGAAATGTATAAGAACTAAATATTCAAATAAGAAGCACCTCTGGAGCCATCCATCTATATGTTCCTGTTTCTGCAGTCATCATCTCTGTTACCGATTCTTCTCTTGCCAAACCAAAATCAGCAAGCTTAACTGTTTTATGATCTGCACTCAATATCAAGTTTTCTGCAACAAAGGAGTCTCGTTAGAGATATGTATAAAGTTGAAAAAATTTCACTCGAATGCTGTAGGTTCAACATGTCGTAAATATTTTTCAGGTATATGCGTTTGTCGATCCAACAGGTTCTCTTATCTCAGCTACGTGCATCGAAACTGGATTCAGTAACACAGTTTATATTTGTTTTGGCAATCATATTATAGGACAAATTTGAAACAATTTTGAACCTTTCATGGTGTGAAGGGTCATGTTGAATTCACACACACGAAATGTTTTAGATTCCCACCTCACAAATCCTCAATTCTAATGGCCCAAGCCCACCGTCAGCGGATATGGTCCTTTTCGAGCTTTCCCTTTCGAGCTTCCCCTCAAGGTTTTTAAAACGCATATGCTAGGGAGACCAGGAAGAGGTTTCTACACCTTTATAAAGAATTTTGTTATTCTCCCCAACGGACGTGGGATCTCACATAGACTATCTCTAATTTGGTTAAATTAGACAAGGAAGCCGATATGTTCATTAATGGCCGGCAACTCAGAAGATGAATTCAATGGAATTCTGGATGAAAAGGACGATTGAAGCTTGAGAAGAACTCATTTTAAGAACAAAATCAATTCTAACTACTATATCAGATGTCCATTCGTTTGGAATTCAAATCATTAGCCCTCATAGAAAGAAAAGGCTGTGTTTCCCAAAAAAAGAAAGAAAGAAAAGGCTGTGTTACCCAAAAAAAGAAAGAAAGAAAAGGCTGTGTTTCCCAAAAAAGAAAGAAAGAAAAGGCTCAATTTTCAGGGCAGAAGCAAATGATAATCTACCAAATGGCTTCAACATCATACACAAATCAGTAAATGGCATGGAAGTGGCATCTACCAGAGTCCAAAGAGCATAGTAAATCACTGTACCTGGTTTAAGGTCACGGTGAATAATTCCATGTGAGTGTAAACACTCCATTGCACGAGCAATATCAAGCGCAAACCCAATCGCCACATCAAGTTTCATGCTCATTGGCCTCAAATTCAATAGATATTTGCGCAATGTGCCGCCTGTGAGCAATTCAGTCACTATAACCATCACAGGTTCCTTGCAAGCGCCAATAAACTGAAAAAAAAAAAAAAAAAGGAGGAAGAATATCAATCGAGAAGCTCTGTTAGAACCTGAGAGACACTAAAAAACGTGATAAAAAGAAGCAAAAGTTCCAAAAGTAGAATTGATCATTGCCTTCACTAAGTTCTTGTGCTGCACTTTGGACAACATTGCTACCTCTCTGGCAAACCGAGCTGCTCTTCTGACCATCCTCTCAGGAGTATCTCCTTTGCCCACCATTTTGATAGCTACAATCTGAGTTTTGTATCTGAGAGAAGAGAGAAAGAGACAGAATTCAGAGGAGAGAGAGAGATGGAGAGGACTATAATATATCTGATTTCAGACAGACAGAGACACAGAAAAACCCATAAACGCACTTTCCCTCATACACCTTGGCATGGGCACCTTCCCCAATCTTCGGCCCAACAAAAAGATGTCTAGGATCAATCAACCATTTGGCATCCAAATAGAATTCATCAGTGGAATAGAACCTATTATCAGAACCCATATCTTCACTCAGGACTTTTATCAAACACCTTCTGTGCACTTCGTTGCTTCCTTCTTCTCTCAATCCACACAAATGAATCGTTCCCAAAAAAGACCCATCAGAGGTTCAAAGGTACGAACAAAGTACGAAACCAACAACAAAAAAAACTAGAAAACCCCATATTTGATTCTGTACAGACCCGTCCCTAAAATCCCGCTCCCGATCCAGAAATTGAACGGATTCTTGTGCTTGGTGGGGGAAAGAATATACTCCTCCACATGTAGGAAAGCGCAAATCCAGCAGCCCCAGAATATAAAATTGGGGAAATCGGTAAATAGATTAGGGGAAAAAACTAAAAGAAATCAGAAAAAAAGTTAGTGTCAGAAGCAGGGGATGTAGCAAATTAAGGTAGCTCTCAACGGAAATGGAGCAGAGCAATGAAAATGAAGGCGAGAACCAAAAATTGAGCTGTGAAATTGATGCTTCTCCGGCTATGGAAGTGAATGCGGTTGCCATCTGCAATTTAAAGCTGCAAAAGAGTTTTTGAGTTATTGTTACTGTTCCAGCGGCCGTGATTTGACTTTGAATACTCAAATTGAAGAATTAAAACACAGAGAGAGAAGAGATGATGGGGTTTGAAGGGAAATCCGGATGCACGGATAAGGACAAGATCTGCGCCGCTGAGAACTGCTGAAAATTGCTATGAAAAAGAAAAAAGACACCGTCTTTTGCTTAGCTCAAACTCCCTTTCTAATAAATTTTTAAATTTTTTAAATTTTTATTTTTTTATTTGTAGTTGTGTTCTTAAATATATATATATTTTTTAATAAATTCTTAAAATTTTGATTATATATTTAATTTTTAGTTTTAGTGAATTGCTTCGTGTTAAACCCGTTTAATTTAGGTATTAATTATCAATTATAATAAGCATTTCTTAGTTATCATATTCTCGAGATCTATTTGCCCACTTCCAGCTTAATGTTCTTTTCTTAAGTGAATGTTGGTCTCGATACTCTCGTGAAACCACTCCGACATGAGATGGTGGCTCAAGGAATACACATGTGCTAGCACATTTATGGGGTGATCAACCATTCACTTGGGTGCTCCCCCACTTAAACTCGACTACCTCTTTGCAGTAGTGTCATCCCCTTATAAGGACTCGCATCGTGTTCAGCTTGATACTTGTCTGACGCTTATTTTGAACCCTCAGCTTCTCTACTTGTAACCATTGTCACTGTTTCTTTAATACGAATGGTCTCAGTTCATTTACATACTCATTATTTACTGAATTAAATTTAAAATAATGCAACTTTTTTACTTTTTACTATAATAATTACTTTTTCATTAAAAAATTATGTTAAATATTTAAATTAAAATAATGTAATACCTAATAATTTAAAAGATACAAATATTTATTATTATTATTATTATTATTAAATAACTTAGACTTTTCTATTAAAATTAAAAAAAATATTTATTTTCGATAGGCGAATATTGAGCCTAGTCAAATCTGACATTCTTTATAATAAATATATCATAATAATATTATTAAATTTATATTATTACTTACAAAATATGTGAAATAATTTGGCACGTGGCTCTATGCAAACATTGACTAAGACACACCGACATGTTTAGAACCTGGGACGACATGTCTAAAAAATCTAATTTTGTTGAACGACATGACGTCACGTCAGTCCACAAACTTTAGAACTAGTAAAATCAATTATTAGCTTTCCTAACTAACCTTGTGACTTTTGAATAATTTTATGCTAATTTATAAATTTATCTTATTTTTTGGTTTTTTTAAAAAATTATTTTTCCTTGAGATTAAGAAATATATATAAAAATTTTAGAATCCATTAAACTTGTAATTTCATCAAAATATTTGATTTTTTTCCTTTTATTTTATGCATGATAAAATTGAACAAATCAATTCCTTTTAAATTCTAATATTTCAATAATAATAAAACTAAAAAATATCAAATTTGACATTTTCAATTATAATATTTTAATTCAATTTCCATCTTTTTTTTATTATTATTATTATTATTATTATATGTGAATGGAAACTTTTGACTTTACTTGGTATGAATTTATTGTATGAAAAAGAAATGAAATATTATTCTTTTACCCTCAAAGTTCAAAACATTGACGATGAGTAAAATACAACCAATCAAGTTGAAAAAAAAATGAAGATTTTCTAGAAGCAAATTACGAGTTAAAGGTCATTTTAACTTAAAAATTATTATTATTTTTATTGATTTATTGAATTGTTGTTTTTATTATTATTATTATTATTATTTTATATATATGGTGGAATAAGAATTGGATGGGAAAAAGGGACAAAATGGGAGCATGAAGGTAGAAGGAGTGTTCCATTATTTGTGTTTGTCAAAAGGGAAGAAGTCTCCTTTTGGTATGTGAAAAGGAAGTGTCGGTGAATAAGTGATTTGACTATTATTCTACATCTTCCCAACCCTCACCAATCATTCAAATTATTGTGTGCTAACACTTCGTTTTTAACATCCATCTTGTAATTGGTATAGGTCGAGCACCTACGTGGACTCCTACTAGAATTTTCTTCAACACCTCGTGTCTACGTGAACTCCCACTAGGATTTTCTTCAACCCCTCATGTTTGCACGCTTCAAGTCGAAGTCAAAAAACTATTGAACCATATTTGAGCAATAGAGTTTGGTCTTAGCTGAACCGAGGTACCTATTTGTATAGGGTTTCCTTCAACACCTCGTTTCTACGTGAACTCCCACTAGGGTTTCCCTCGGCATCCATCTTGTAATTGGTATGGGTCGAGCGCCTACATGGAATTTTATTGGAGTTTCCTTCCGCATCTCATGTCTACGTAAACCCCCACTGGATTTTTCGTAGTACCTCGTGTCTATATGAACTCCCACTAGAGTTTCCCTCAGCACCTCGTGTCAACGTGAACTCCCACTAGGGTTTCCATCTGTACCTCGTGTTTGAACGTTTTAAGTCGAAGTTGAAAAACTATTGAACTATATCTAAGCTATAGAATTTGGTCTTAGCTAAACTGACTGAAATTTTGTTGCTACGACATGTATGAAGTTAGGATGGAGAACTATAAAACTCATTCCATATTCCCATTTCACATTATATCTCCTTAAAACCTCTTCAATCTAAGTATTGTGACTAAAAAAAAGGGAGAAATCCAAAATTTACCTTAAATCGGTTATATCAAATTTAACCAACCAATTTTTACCTTTTTTCTTTTTTTTTAACGGCGATATTAATCCAATTCAACCCTACTCAGCCGCCAGCACCGCCACCTCTCCCGATCTTCTTTCTCCTTCGACGATCGTTAGTGACCACAAGCACAGCGCGCGACGGTGCGTTACCATTTCGTTCTCCCGCTCGAGTAGCAACCACATACGGAGGCGGCGTGTGCGGTGGTTTCGGCAGGTTCGAGCGTCTGTAATTATTGCGCCTCGTCGGCAGTTCGAATCCCGGTGACACCTTAAACAACGACCCAAGCGTGTAGACGGCGTCTGCTACACTCATCTCCGGCTAGCCTTAAGCAACGACGGCGACAGCAAGCTACGTGAACGACGCGTCCCTCGCCGTTTCGCGCTGCTACCCCCCTCTCGTTGCGGCGGCGCGATTTCAACGACGGCGAGTCCATACTCGCGATAAGCTAAGAACAACATTTGATGATTATCCACAAACCGAAGACTTCACATTTGGTAAGTGGCGTCTTTCTGTAACTCTGCAGCTTGCAAATCATATACATGAAAAGCAGGGATCAGTTAGTGAAGCTGTTTGAAAAATGTAAGTGTAGCAAAAATCTAGCTGAATTGCAATGTTATACGCTCAAAATTGGCCTTGCTCATGATACTTTCTTCGCCACCAAACTTAGTGCACTGCATGGAAAATACACCTCTCTCGTGCAAGCACATAAGGTGTTCGAAGAAACGCCGAGCAAAACAGTACACCTCTGGAATGCTATTCTTAGAAGCTACTGCAAAGAGAAACAATGGGGACAGACTTTATATCTCTTTAATGACATGGTATCTCATGGAATTTCAAATGGGAAACCTGATAATTTCACCATTCCTATAGTTTTAAAGGCCTGCGCAGGGTTGCAGGCACTTAAATTTGGAAAGACAGTTCATGGGTTCATCAAGAAAAATGAGAAAACTGACCTTGACATGTTTGTTGGGGCTGCATTGATCGAACTGTACTCGAAATGTGGAAAAATGCACGAGGCACTTCAAGTTTTCTTGGAATTTCCTCAACCAGATGTAGTTTTATGGACTTCAATGATCACAGGATATGAGCAGAATGGAAATCCTAAGAAGTCAGTTGATTTCTTCTCTCAAATGGTGATGATCGAGCATGTAAATCCCGACCCCGTCACGCTTGTCAGCTTAGCATCGGCTTGTACTCAACTGTCGAATTCGAAGCTCGGAAGTAGCATACATGGCTTTATAACTAGACGAAACCTGGATTATGGCTTATCCTTGGCGAACTCGTTGTTGAACCTATATGTGAAGACGGGGTCTGTAAAAGCTGCAGCCAATTTGTTCGAGAAAATGCCGATAAAAGATGTGATTTCATGGAGCTCCTTAATTGCTTGTTATGCTCACAATGGCGCAGCAGCTGAAGCACTAAACCTGTTCAACAAGATGATTGATCAGAAAATCAAATTCAATTCAGTCACAGTGATTGGTGCATTACAAGCATGTGCAGTTGAATGTAACTTAGAAGAGGGAAAGAAGATCCACGAACTTGTTATCAGGAAAGGTTTGGAGTTGGATATTTCAGTTTCCACAGCTCTAATTGATATGTACATGAAGTGTTTTTCACCTGAAGAAGCCCTTGTGGTGTTTGAAAAAATGCCCAAAAAAGATGTGGTTTCTTGGGCTACCTTACTGAGTGGATATTCCGTGAATGGAATGTCCTCCAAATCAATGGGAACCTTCAATACGATGCTGTTGAACAACATAAAACCTGATGCCGTTGCCATAGTGAAAATTCTTGCTTCTTGTTCAGATTTGGGCATTCTCCAACAAGCACTTTGCCTCCATGACTATGTTGTTAAAAGTGGCTTCACCGATAACGTTTTCGTAGGAGCTTCGCTTATAGAGCTGTATTCAAAATGTGGCAGCACAGTCAACGCCATGAAAGTATTTGAAGAAATGAAAGTAAAAGACATTGTTACCTGGTCTGCGATCATTGCAGGTTATGGAATCCAGGGACAAGGAAGAGAAGCTTTGAAACTGTTCGACAAAATGAGAGAGACATCAGAAGTTATGGCTAATGAAGTAACATTTCTCTCATTGTTATCTGCTTGTAGCCATGCCGGTTTGATTGAAGAAGGGATCAAGATATTCAACATGATGTTGAATGAATACAGAATAGAACCCAACATGGAGCATTACGGCATCATTGTCGATCTTCTTGGTCGAACAGGAGAACTCAACAGGGCGCTGAACTTCGTTCAGAAAATGCCAATTCCGGCAGGGCCCCATGTCTGGGGTGCCCTGTTAGGTGCCGCTTGTATTCATCACAAATCTGACTTGGGAGAGATTGCAGCAAACAATCTCTTCAAATTAGATCCTAATCATGCTGGGTACTACATACTGCTATCTAACATTTATGCTGTGGAGAATAATTGGGAGAATGTGGGAAAACTTAGGAATATGATAAAGGAAAAGGGTTTGAAGAAGATTCTTGGGCAAAGTGTGATTGAAGCAGGAAGTGAGGTTCATAGTTTTGTAGCTGATGACAGATTACACCCAAAATCTGACCAGATTTATAGGTTGCTAAGAAATTTGAATGTTAATATGAGAGATGAAGGTTATAGCTCTAATTCAAAAACCTATTTGCAGGGCATTGAGGAAATTGTATAGTAAACATTCTATTGTAGGGCATGTAAGTTGAAGAAACTACTCGAATTGAGAGCTGAACACATCGTTAGCCAGTGATTTGATTATCGATCATCTTCCAAACTATAATCAATCAGTTCGCACTAGATTTGTGCTTAGCTTTGGGAATGTTAAAACCACAACTACCAATCAGCCAGAGCAGAAAATAGAAATCTATTTATTTGCTATCACAATTCAGTCTCCTGAAAGTAACATCGTTTACTAACCTTTGTCATGAGTTTTGATGGCCGAGGAATGGAGCTTAGGTTGCATATCAGCGTCCGAGTCCAACGTGGGACGGGAAGATCGCTGGACTTCCTCATAGGCAGCAACGGTTCCGGCAAGGTCACTCCGATACATCTCCGGCCGACGGAAGCCAGACTTCTCGTCTTCGACTATTGAAAATGTGGAGAAACGGTGAGATTCCGAGAAGTGGAGTAAAATTGGCGACGGAAATTGGTGCGAAGCGGAGTGATCGATAGAACGGAAGAGGAAGAGAGGTTCACGTAGAGTTTTGCTGAGAGAAGAGAAGCAACGATTTGGTCTCCATAATCGCATAGCTTGCCATGTTAGGCGGCGCTACCGAGTCGTCAAACGGCGAAGATCGCCGGAGAGCAGTGGAAAACAAATGACGGAGAGAATAAGATGTGAAATATTACATTTATGTTTGAAAATTTTGAGTTCAACAATATTTTGTAATTTTCAAACTCGAAATTTTGGTTCAGAAATTTGATTTTAGTATCATTCTAATCTCTATCATTAAATTTTTGATAAATATCCCAATCAATAGTTATATACAGTAAGCGTTGTTACCTTTTGCTTACATTCTCATATAACACCAATTTCAATTTCTCAAATCTTGCTTTCAAAACTCTCTGTCCCTATTTTCTAAAACTTTCTTCTTGAACCGAGGCCAAAAACTCGAGCATACATCGCTTGGCCGTAGGCGACGCGAGAACGAATAGGTTTAACTCACTTGTTGCTGAGAAGTGAGTGTTGCACAATCGTAAGCCCGATGCCATCAAAGAAAAAAAGAAAAAAGACGAGACACTATTTTATTAAAACAATATTTTATATTTTTTTTTCTCGTCTCTATTTCTCTCTCCTTTCTCCTTTCTCCATCTTCCATTTATAGTTGTCACCTTCGACATCCCCATCAACCTCGATACCTTTTTTTCAGCCTTTTTTCCATTAAAAAAAATCAAAAGGCTCGATGTTGAGGATTGTTGGGAGAGGAGTCCTACGTAGGCTAATTAAGGGGTTGATCATGAGCTTATAAATAAAGAATACATCTCCATTGGTACGAGACATAGGAAAACCAAAAGCAAAGCAATGAGAACTTATCCTCAGAGTAGATAATATTATATCATTGTGGAGAGTCGTAGTTTCTACCGATCTTTTTCGACGAAATCTATGAAAAGGTAGGAATCATATACGAAAAGAAATGGAAGTTTTGAAGCAACAGATTATCTTTTTTTGTAGTGAATAAAAATGAAAGAATTATGTGAGTCAGTATGAGAGGGAAACCCAACAATTCCATTCCCCAGTTTGATGCATCTTTTCTGCATATTTTCTCACACAGATTTTATTATGCAGAGCAGCAGCAGATAGCACAGTAGAGTGAGTTACAAAGTGACAGTTAAGAGAACATGAAACCACAAGAGGACTGAATTGAAGCACAGCACAATACAAATGAGGAGAGGAGAGGAGATTGGTTGATGAAAAGACTGAAAAAAGGAAATCACAATAAAGATTCAAAAGAAGTCAATCTCTAAATAGTTACCTTCAGGCTTCACGTCGACTCCCGGCATCTTTTCGCCTGTTGCTGCTGCGGCTGCGGCTGCAGCGGCGTGTGGTGTCCCCATTTTTGAAGAGAAATCAATGACATCCATTCTTGGTACCTCTGGAGGATTGGCGCAGCGGATGAGTGCCCAATTCACGCTTTGGAAGAATGGATGTTGCTTGATCTCGGTAGCACCTCGTCTATAAGCGAGACGATGTTGTGGTTCTTTTACAAGCAAACCTCGGATCAAATCCCTTGCTGCAAAGCTCACAGAAGGAGACTCTGGAAATCTCAATGGCTGACCAACCACGTTAAATAATGTAGCACGGTTCCCTGCCCCCTTGAACGGAGTTCTACCGAACAAAAGCTCGTAAAGAAAGATCCCAAAAGTCCACCAATCCACAGCACTGCCATGGCCTTCACCTTTTATGATTTCAGGTGCCAGGTACTCATGTGTACCAACAAAAGACATCGATCTCGCACTTGTCGGTTCTGCAATTAGCTCCGGTAGAGGGCTCACTTGATGATATACTTCACTTTTCGGTTTCGGTTTCGACTTCTTTTCTTTCCTGTGTCTGCTAAAGAATCGAGGCGTAAAACATGCTGGCTGGATACAATCTGGCTGCATTATGCAAGTTGGCTCAATGCAAGCAGGCTGGACACAGTATCCTGAACTTTTAGCTTCTAAACCCGAGTTCGATGATTTAACAAGGGTCGGGGAGACCGCACATCTAAGAGAGAGGTCAAAATCAGATAGCATTATGTGTCCATCATCTCTCACTAACACATTTTCAGGTTTTAGGTCCCTGTAGATTATCCCAAGCATGTGTAGATACTCCAAAGCAAGGAGAACTTCAGCCACATAGAATCTGGAAAAGTACAGAAAATATCCAATGAAAATCGAGGTGAGCCACAGTCCCGTAACCGTTCATAATGAAAAGGGCTGTCTACAGAAGCCTATGATAATGTGCAAATTGCTAGCTCTCTAATAGAGTGATTTCACAGGCAAACAGAGAAATAACCATAAAAACTTAACATCTATTGCACCATGGCATCCAAGTAGGGCGATGAGAGACGAACGAAATGCTTCGATGTCAAAAAAGTAATTGAAGTCCAAAGTTATATTAGAAAGAAGCAGCACAAATATATAAAATTCTAGGATATATGTCGTTCGACCCTATGAAGATTTCATGTTGTAGCTCTGTAATGATCTGTGGAAAGTTTGAGAGGAAATCTTTCCACCAGTGCCATATAGAAGGGCAGTTCATATTTGATTTATTTAAGGAGCACATCTGTTCCTAAGAAATCTTAAATAGAGACAGCAAATGTTCTGTTCGGTTATTAGAGTGAAAGAAAGATAGAGCTATAGGATAAGAAAACAATTCAGACCTTGCAGCATGCTCAGGAAAATATTTCCCAGGTTGTCTCTGCCGAAGCGCGTGCAAGTCGCCCCCGGGGCAAAACTCCATTACCAAACAAGAGAACTTCTCTGTCTCGAAATGTGTATACAAAGTTGGCAGGAATGGATGATCCAGAGATTGCAATATCTCACGTTCAGTCTGAGCCCTCAGAAGCTTCTTCCTACTTGCCAAAGCAGCCTTATCCATAACCTTCATGGCAAAGTAAGTCTTGGTACCAGTTAACTCCGAAAGATAGACGCTACCAATATCGCCACATCCCAGTCTTCGAAGCAACCGGAAATGGTTCAATCCTAACATCCCATCATGGGATCTCACGACTTGTAATGCTTCCCATCTTGTGTCATTTGCCTGATGGGGCTTAGACATGGCATTGCTTAAACTACTCGAGTTGCTCTCATCACTGATATCACTGCCAGTGCTGCCTCGGTACACACTCGTTTTCCTGCTTTTGTCAATATCATAGGAACTTGTGATGTTAATGCTTTCACAAGACTTGTCAATGCTGCTTGCACATTCACTCACTTCTGTGTTTGAGAAACTTTGTTTGGCCTCTGCATATAAAGTCGTGGAATATATGCTGGCCTGAGGACTTGGACAAGATAATTCAGCTGGCTGAGACTTTTGTTGGTCATTTATTTGTGTGGCAGCTCCTTTTGATGCGTTCAATACTTGATTTCCAGATTCTTCCAAGCCATTTGAACAACAATCCTTAGAATCGTCGATAATAGGCTTCACAAGCTCGGATTTCCCCTTATTCGAAACATGTGTATGTTTTTTCACATCAGCTAAATCTTCAAGCTGCACATCTTGGTTCAAATTGGCAGGATGTTTTTTACTACTTACAGAAGAACCATTTGGATGGCGAATTGGTTTCTTGGCACAATTTTGAGACATAACACAGGAAGTCGAAGAAGTTGCTTCATTCTTCGACGGTTTAGAGGAATCAAGAATCCTTGATGCAGATGTCGGGTTCTGATTTTTCAGTAAAGAACTCATACCATCAGCAAGTGGCTCCATCAGCAGCTCCGGCTCAAGCACACTCTCAGGCCAGATCTTAAGGTGTGGTGAATGGGATTCGACGATTGATTATAATTTATAACCATTATGGAAATTCCCAAAACCATTAACTAAAAAATCTTCCACTTATTAATGCCTTTCTTGCAAACGCCAATGAATATCTATCGGTTCTGGAAGTTGAAAAGTTCAAATTGATTCAGATAAACTGTGAGAGAGATTGAAGATTCCATATCCAGTAACTCAATCAATCAAAGAAAATCCCCAAGATTATGAAGAAAATCATTTACCTGTTGATGGCTTATCCGAAGCTCAAGCAGTGAGCCTTGAGCAATATCAAACCCTACAAAGTCGAAAAAAGAAAATCATGTAAGTAAATTCCAAATACCGCTGTAATCACATAACAACAGCAGATTCTTTAATCCGCCGTCTAAAAATTTCTTCGTTTTCTTCCTCGGAAGCATCAACGCCTCATCTAATTTGCTCGAAAACACTAGAAATCAAAAGAAGCTTAACCTCAACACCGAACTCTTTTCAAGAGATTCACAACACGAAAACCAAAATTTCCAGTGTCTTCAACTACTGATTTTGATTCTTTCAAAGTGAAAACCAAAATCAAGCACAAAACTCAACCCACAGCCCTCCAAATCTTTAACAATGGAAATCAAAAAAAAAAAACACCGAACAAAATATCCACGAACCACAACTACACAATGCAGCAGCAAGCAAATCTTTCAAGACAGGCCAAAAAAAAAAAAAAAAAAAAAAAGT